GGACAGTCCATCCTCCAGTTTAGGAATACGCTTGGATTCCTGGCCAATTGCAAACTCCCACATAGCAGTGCCCTCAAGTAATGCTTTGGCTAGGAAATAGTCCTATCCTGGTGGATGATGAACTGGCCACAGTTATTTGTGCCTTCATCACTCTTTGGCTGGGTTATAGGAATATGAGATACCTGGGCATGAAGCCTTTAGTGCTTAGGAAAATAGCTTGCGCAGAATCTTGCAGCATGTGCTTATGGTAAATCGTGTTACTGGAAAACATCAGGTTTGCCCTTTATTTTCTGTGCCACCTTAGCATATAGTCTCTATAAATTGCTTTTAGGATCTTGGCCCTTTCAGGTGACAAATATTGTATTCTTAGAACTGGCCAGGAATTGGAAAAGAGGGGGACACAGAATGAAACTGCCAAAAGAGTGGGAGCCCTCCTGAGCCAAATAGCTGAAAGAATGTCCCCTCCCTGCTGCCCCAAGCCAAACTGCCAAAAGAGTGGGGTCCCTGGAATGGAATTGCCCAAAGATTAGGGTCCCCTGAACAAAATCATCCTCTGAAAGATTGTAAGCTATCTCAAGAATTTATACCGATATCAGGTTAACACCTAGAAGAATTTATAGGGGTTGAAGTTATACTACTTTTCACACTTATTGTAAGCCCTTTACTCTGACCTTAATGTCTCTAGAAATGACCTGTAAATTTCTGTTGAAGCAAGACATTCTGTAGCATGCATGTCTCCTGTCTTTCTGGGCAAGAACAAGTGTGGTGGATGAGTAGCTTTGTTACTACAGTGGAAGAAAGATACAGTGAAGTGTAGTACTTAAAGCTGTAGAACTATAGAGTGAAGGTCAGTGTAACTACTCTTTCAGTAGCAGTAACACTCTTCCATCCCAAGCAAGTGTGAAACACAGTGTAAGGGCTGTGCACTACTGCCAGTGTTGTACTTCTAATATCCAGAGGCTTTTGATAGAGGCTCTAGAAATAACTTGCATTTCCATTTGTGGACTTGCACTAGAGGCTAGTAAGGCTGTCAAACCAGCTCTGGGAGAATGTATTAAGTTGGTGTTAGCTGCTGCTGTGTAAAGCTTGGGCTTTTTTGATACTACTTTTGAGTCATTAAATGTTTTGTATTTGTTAATGCATTGCTAAATTAGCCCGTGATATCCCTTAAGATAACAGCATCCTAGTAGAAGAGAAAGTTTACGTACTCTAGAGAGCTCTAGAACCCAGTGAAATCCCTTTTGAATAATCGGTTCCTATGGAAAAGAAAATTCTATGGATATGGAGCTCAGACCACCTAAAATTTAAGGATGGTCTCTGTAGCAGGACGCTAATGCAAACATTTTCAAGGTAAAGAAATTCTGTTGTTTAGATGTATTGTTTTTGTCTGCCAGGGGTTCATATCTGAATATTTCTGATGATGTGCATACTTAAAAAAATAAGAAGCAGATGAGCATGGTCGGCCTAATTGCCCTCTGCTTCATGAAAAAGCCATGACTTTCTGCAATAGCTTGCTGCTTGGGCTCAGGATCTTCGAAGATCTGGCTGAAAGCACATTATTAACAAGTGCTATTTTAGTGCTAAACTCAGGAAAGTTACAGTTAAATTGAAAAGAAATTCAGATACTTTAAGCTCTGAAAATATGTGGAAAGGGGATCCAAACTTCCAAACTCCCTTCTGTTGCCAGCTGCTTTGACTTCATATGTAGTTAAAGCTCAGAAAAATATGGTGCAAAGAATTTTTCACTTTCTTAACCTTACTACTTAGCTACATGATGGAGTTTGTTGTTTCTGGGTTTGTTTTGGTTTACTTTTTTTCCCCTTTGCTTCTCCTACCTGTGTATTTAAGGATAGATTTACTCTGATGAATATCTTAATATCTTCATGGGTTTACTAGTATAGTTCTTGAGAGAGAGATTTTCTACAGTGACTACCAACTGGAGGCAGTAGTGTCTTCATTTTCACTGAGAAATGAGGTTTTTAATTTTTTTTAGTGGTTTTTAGTTTTTGGCAGTAATCTCTAAACGAAGGATTCTTTTTGTGTGTAACTTGTTAGGTGTCCTGGTATAGTTCAGCATCTGAACTACAGAAAATAGGGGAAGGATGAAGAGAGATGACAATAAAGCAAACTGGGGATGTATTCTCTTCTGGACACTAACTTAATTGCACAGCTGGATGCTCTGAATTCCCCTCCTTCTTTCCCTCTTCCATTTTTCTTGAGCGCTTTGGGGCTTCACTCAAATCTACTCTTCTTTTCTTGAAACTAGCCCTGCTCTTCTTTGTACTTTCTTTCCCTTTTGCCAGGGCTTCTTACAATGTTGTATGTCTAACTTCCCTTTACCCTTTCTTTACCCCCTTTTTTTTTTTTTTTGTTTTTTTTTTTTTTTTTTTTTTTGTTTTTTTTAAATTTTTTGTTGTTGTTGTTTTGTTTATTTTTTGCTTGTTTGTTTGTTTGTTTGTTTTGAGGGTCTTTTTTTAATGAGCTAGAACATGCGTGCTGTTGTGAGTTGTAGTGATTAACAGTGGCTTATACTGGTCATTCTCCCAACTAGGTGCCCTGGATTCTGCCCTCAGTCTTTTGTTTTATATATTTTTGTCCAAAGTCTGAGGCCTAAAATATGCATTGAAACAGGAATTGTTTACATGCAGAATAAGAAAATGATTGCAGTTGGACTAGATGATCATTATAGGTCACTTCCAACTAGAACTGTTCTGTGACATTATGTTTAACTTGTTGGCATGCCCATGTCTGGATGTAGGTTTTTGCACATGTCACTACAAATAGTATTATACTCTGCTTAATGCCTGATTACTTCTGTTTGGGTTTTTGGTTTTGGGTTTTTTTGTTTAGTTGGTTGGTTGTGTTTTTTAAGATGTTTTTTGGCCTGCTCCTAAAATGGAGTTACTGCCCTCTCTGTCCTGACTTCATCCTAACACTCTCTTATGTCTGAAAGAGAGTGTACCTGCATCTGATTAAAAGTTAATTGGCATCTTTCTGTATTTGCTCAAGTGGCCGTTCAGTCAGATCTGTGATGTGATCTGACTTGCCTGTGGCTATGTAATTTCTGGAGCAAATCAAGTAGAGTGGCTGGAGTATGCAGCTGGGCAGGTGATGAGCTTTCACCTTCAGTGCATCCCTAGATTGACAAAGGCTGATCATGCAGCTACACCTTTAGAAAGCAACATTTGCACAAGATGCAATTGTAAACACTTTAAATTGGCACAGCTATCAAGAAAAACAGCCCTGCATTCTTCCTGGCTGCTGTTTCCATTCTCATGTTGACTCTTTCATTTCTTGGCACAGGTGTATATAATCAGTTCCTCTCACTGCACAGTGCAAACTGGAATGGAGATAGCATGGGCAACTGTATTAACAGTTGATTGTAGGAAGGTCTTTTCCCTCCCTCAGAAGCTTATATTGTTTTGGCATTCATTCAACCTCATAGAGGTGTGCTATTGATAAGATTACTGTTTAAATAGCTTCAGTGCAATTTTGTGCTATATTCCTGTGGTCATTCAGGGGCTTGCAATGTCCATTGTATTGTGTCACTAAAAGCATTTCTGTACTCATGCAGTGAACTGATCTGATAAATAGCTTAGCAAAAAAGGCTGTTTTTAAATGTCTTCTATGCAGGACAGACACTCTTGTGTTCATATTGTGCAGGTAAAATGAAGGTGGATAGTTGAGAAAAGAGAGTATGGATAGCTTAAGTCTGTGTGGCCACTGTGGGGGTGAAGCTTATCAAGTTACTGCTTTGTAGCCAGATCAGGGATTTGATCTACCTTTGTCCTTTCATACTGTTCTCGCATCCCTCAACACGCTCACACAAAAACTCTACCCTAGCCCCCGCAAAAAACCCAACCAAAACAAACAAACAAAACCCCCCCAAAGCCCCCAACAAAACAAACAAACAAAAAACCAGAACAAACAAACCCCAACCAGCCAACCAAAAAAACCCCAAAACAAAAAATCCATCAACCACCTTACAATTAAAAATCTTGGGCTATTTTTCAGTTGTATAAATTCATTGACTCAGTTTAACGTAAACATCCATGATAGTAGTGTATGGCTAAAGGAATGGTGATGGGGTACTTGGTTATAGTACAGGTAGTGTGTTTTAAACAGGAGGTAACCACTGTTTCCATAATAAATAGGCTGACTTAACTGTGGTATTGTTGGCTGTAGCAGGGTTCATATGGATGCTAAATAACTTTGTAGCAGTGTCTTGTTACTGATTGCAATCTTCTCTGCAGTCCCTTTCCTTGTACACGGCTAGGTGACATTTTTGAGATATGGAAAGGCTGCGTAGTCCCTGAGAATGACAGCACCTTGGAGCAGATGCTGCCTTGTTGGACAAATTGGTCTGGCCTTCGGTTATACCTGGTTTCCTGGATGCCTTTTGAGAAAGAAGAAGATTGGCAGTTGTAGGCTGTTGTGTAGTTGGTGGTGATAGAAATATATTCCCAGCCTCAGCCTTTCTTAATGCATCTTTGGAGTACACAAGAACTGAGCCATGCTTGTATGAGACTCAAGGAAATATTGACTGCATATGTAGTATGATTGCTCTGAATGTGTGCATTTTCTAGGACCAGTGGATCTTATGTATTCATGGTAAGGTCCTATTGTGAAATTGAAGGAACTTCAATTTTTGACTCTGACTCTCTAAAGTGGCATGTTTGGCCAGAATGCCCAAGGACCGTAAATCTAAGCAGTTGAGAAAAAATGTGCCTATCATGTACACTGTTAGGCTGTAAAAACTACCAGGAGAACAAATGGAGCTACCTGCTCTAAGACACTGGAAAAAAGACTAAATGCACCTGGATGTGGCCCTTGAGAATAAACTGTGGGGGTTTTTTGTGAGGAGAGGTTGCATTTGATGAAGGCTTATTATGTGCATTCTCTCCCTAACTGCTGTTGTTGAGTGACCTGTGTAACAGGCTATACTTAGCAAGGCTGTCACTTGTTCAAGAAATACTGAGAATCTTTATCCCTCTTTACAGGTTTGCAACAGTGAGGTATGACCAGGCATCCAAGAACATTAGAAACCAGTTCATGCATCTGACCAACTACAGTGTCAACAAGAAGAGTGGAGATTATGTCAGGTACTTAGCTGGAAAATGGAACTTGATCTCTAGAGGTTGGGTCAATTTACCTAGGTTGGTCTAAGGCTGATGCAAGTCTCTAAAGGAAGGTCAGTGGTGTCAACCTGTTTCTTTCATTTATTTTTAGCTGTGATGATCCTGAGGTAGAGGATTATGGAAGCAAGTGGAGCATGAGTGCAATGCTGAGGTACTTAAAACAAGAGGGGAAAGACACCGCAGGTCAGTACAGATCTTGTTCTTTTATTCCTTTGTTGAATCTTAATCATCTCACTAGTGTGAACCCTAAGAAGTCAGGGAAGAGCAACAGTGGGTCCCATTTAGCACCAGAGCAGGGTGGAGGGAAGCATTGTTCCTTGCAGCTTACTCACTAGAGCTGTGCATTTATTCTCTATCCCCAGAGATGAGGCCTTTCCCTTCCCTTTTGCAAATAATATTCTGAGACTTTCTCAGGGTGTGTTTCTTAATATTTTACCTACATTTCCCGTTTCTTAAGGTCATTCCATTCCTTCTAAAAGCTTCCCTCCCTCTACTGCTCCCATGGCCTGTTCAGTCTGATGAGTGACCAACCTCTGGAGAACTGTGCCAGTTTGAATGACTCTTGGATGTGGTGTCATCTTTCCATGGCTCAGGTTTTTGCTGGGTGTTTTCATTTCAGTCTGTGTTTCACATAAAATAGCTCCCACTTCCACATCTTTGCCAGGTCTGCTGGGAGTAAGTACATCTGCAGAGCAGAATCCAGGTATATCCTTTAAGGGATAAATTACCTGTGATACTGAGGCATCAGTAACACTGCTGATAGCAGCTATGCCCATATTGCAAATGTTGCCCAGGAACAATTAGATGTTGGGGGAAGGGGGTTTTAATCTGGCTTTTGGATGGAAATAAACATTTTTCCCCATCATATGTGTGCATGGCTGTCTGATTACTTGCACCATATGTTTTTGTTAAGTTATGTATGCATAGTTATTTATATTGATACATTTCCAGACCCCAGCCTAAAGTATAAATATGTACTCTTAATAATTAAGTAAACTACTGAGCAATGCAAGCAAGTTTCTCTAACTATCCATTACAAGGCATCTTGCACCTTTCTCTGATGCATCTGGTTCTGGTCATAAGGAGGCAGAATGCTGGCTGGGAAATGCTGGCCTTGTCTGGGCTGGCAAGATTTTTGTGCTCTGGGATGTTTATGTGCACTTAGACATTCCCATGCTGTGTTGCTTCCACTTAGTCGTCTTCTGGCACAGAAGTTCACATTTGAATTTGCTTGCAAGGTCCTCTGTAATTATTCAGGTCCCTGCATGTCATCATCTGAACATGAGAAAAAGTAATCGTAGGCCTAAATTGAACTCTCTAGTCAAGTGGTTTGTACTGGATGTTCTTTGGAACAGGGATTACCAAATGTCTGTGTGGTTTTGCTGGAGGTCTTTGCTTGAACCTCCCTTTGAGACATATCCTATCATCTCTCCTAACTTTTCAGACCAGGGCTCCAGTGTTCTTTTGTTCCTTGCTCCTCTATTGTTTGTCTTAGAAAACAGAAACTAAGTGTGGTGTTCTCTGTTTCGTGACTCATCCCAAGCCCAGACTAGAATCCAGGTCTACATCTAGCATGCATCCTTTCTTGCCTTTTGCTCCCTCTGTCAGGTCAGATTCCTGTTCAGAGCTCTGTTTACAGGCTCGTAAAGGAGGTGGAGAGAGCTCCTTTACTGCAACTGCAGATTATTGATGGGTCAGCTGGACTGGGAGCTGTCACCAGGCATGTAATTTTGAAATGATTTGTGAATCATTGTATGGGAACAGCTGCTTTAGAGGAAGGTGCAATCATAGAACAGTTACCTCATGAAAGTCCACAAGAAAAATTTTTGTATCTCAGTGCCTATGGCTTGTTTTCTGTAATTTAAGGGCTTATCTCACTGACCTGCTCTTGTTTAATCCTTCCTAATACTCTGAGTAGGCGGTGATCAGACTCCAGCTGACTTGTGCTGATGTGCTTGCCACATGTTTCTGCTTACTTGTACTGTACATATACTCATTTCTATCATTTTCATCTTTAAGTATTTTTGCATTAGGATACTTATGCATTTATCTATATACTTATGCTTGCATGGATTTCCAAGCATGTTATCTTTTGCTTTGCCATCCATAAGCTCTCACATGCTTTGACTCACAAAGATATCTGTCCATATGCATATTCTCATATTTTTGAGATATTGTGTGTTACTCCACAATCCTTTTTTTTTTTTTTTGTTTTTCTTTTCTCCCCCCCTCCTTGCAGCACTGATGGCCAGCGTGGAGGACCTGATTATCAAGACTGTGATTTCTGCTGAGCTGGCCATTGCCACAGCTTGTAAACATTTTGTTTCACATCGTGGCACCTGCTTTGGTAAGGTACTGGGGGAATCTTTTGTTGATTGGCTCAAGTACTGTTTGAAACTTCCATATTTCTGATGCTACAAAGAAACTTACATTCCCTATTGCAAGGAAGCCAGACACTGTTTTGATTTGTTCCCTGCCCCTCCCCCCCTTCAGTATAGGCCTCTGTGAGGGCAGGAGACACTGAGTCACAGCTGCTCCGGAGCCAATGTCATTCATCAGAATCTCATGCTAGAAAATGGAATGGTAAAGGACTTGAAAGGGAACTGGGGAAATGCTGGAAAGTTGAAATTAGTGACACACTAATGCCCTTGAAAACGATGGCTGTCCGTGATTAAACATCCCTTTAGAGCATTTAATATTTCCTGTTGAGCCATCTAGCCCAATGTAGTTCTGAACTATTGTCCTACATGCACCTGAGGACTAGGGAAGAATGTGTAAAGCAGTCCCCGGAATGAATGGTGGTGGTGAGTATTTCTGGGCTTGTGCTTGTCTGAGAATACCGCATGGTGGCGTCAAAGCCTATTTCTGGCAGAAGCTGGGCGCAGAACTATGTGCTGGCAAAGGGATTTGAGAACTCGCTGGCAGCAGATGCTGGGACGAGGTCCAGAAAGCAGCGGCTGGTACCACAGTGTGCCTTCTCCTGCTTTCCAGTGGCCGCTTCCCAACCTTCCCTAAAGAGGCCTCCTCGTGCTCTTAGCCACCCTTTGCTCATGTGTATACACACTCATGGAGTCTTGGGGCAGGGAAAATGAGTCTAGGATTAATCTCAGTCAATGCTTAAACCAAAGACCAAGCTTGGCTTAAGATACGCTGTGTTTAGGTATTGGGACTTGCATTTAGAGCTGCTGTGACAGGTACGTTCGTTTGTGTGGTCCCTGCATTGCACTTGGGTATTAACAATTCTGCAGCTTTCAACACTCTTAACATAAATGCTGTCATCTTTGGATATTTAGGGTGATGAGACAGTAATAAAGAAGGAGCCAGGGCTAATATGTTGCTTAGTTACCTGCCAAACTAGCTACCTCTCTGGCATTACCTTCTCCTGACTGATTCTGATGCCTTTGTTCAAAGTGGGAGAACTTTGGAATACGTGGAGTTTTATCAGTTTTAGTAGCTGTAGTGAAATTTATCGGCTGCTCCAGAAATATCAACCACTGGATTTAAAAAAAGGCACACCAGAAAACTGTAACTGCCCCCTTTTTTTTTTTTTATTCTTCCTTTTCTGCCCTCAGATGTGTCTCTAGATTCCTCTGAGCTGGAAGCTAATGTTCCTCATGCACTTTCTGCTGGGCCTGGCTCTGAGGTTATCCCACTTCCTGCTGCCTCCCCAGGGCTGCACTAACCACCCTCTCAGATGCTCCCCCACAAATAAACTGTTTTGTTCCATTTATTTCAGTGTAAACACAAATTAAGAGCTTCCCAGGAAAGAGAGCTTAAGTAGGAGCCATACTGCTTCCCTAGGGAGCCTGAGGCATTTCCAGAGCTCAGTACTTTCTGCCACCTTCCCCCACAATTAAGTGGTGGTCCTTATCCCAAGGATATGAGCTGCTTTTGTCATGCTGTATGGATCATTCTTCATCCTGTGTCGTGTTCTGACACTCTTTGCTTGTGCCACTTTTAACCTGGTTGGGGGGAAAAAAAAAGGACAGTTTTTCTAGCTGGAAGTGTTCAGAATGGCTGAGTTTATAGCTGTTAACACAAAGGAGAAAAGTAGGAATGAAGATTTCAAGACAGCATGTAGAGGCTCCCAAGAGTCCTTTTTCGGTTTTGGCTTTTTTTCTTTTTTTTTTTTTTTTTTTTTTTACTTTTTTCTTTTTTTCTTTTTTTCATTCTGGGCTGCAAACAATGAAACCACATGTGTGTCCTGGGAAAGACTGATCATTTGAAAAGTATCTGAGGCTTCAGAAACCTGGATCTGAGATTCAGATATAGAGGTAGACCTTGTTTGGAAAGCTGCTAGAAAAATATGACTAACTGAATGTGTATTCTACTCTAGTCTTTGTAATGCTCTTATGGGAATAGGACTCCAGCACAATTGCCACATTCTTTCTGAAACTTAAGTCACAGGTACTTACTTGTCTAGATTAGGTTTCCCACTTTATTATGCTGTTTAGCACTCCTGTGGTCCTTCATTCCTTTCCCAAGTAAATGTTGTTTTAATGTAATATACTTGCTTTCTAGATTTAAGGGAAGAGACTCCATTCATGACTTCTTCGTGTTCCAAAATAAGACTGGTGAGACAGTCTGTATGGTTCCAAATACCTGTGCTTGCCTAGAAAGTGAGAGGATGCTGCTCTTTCTGATGTCAAAGCAGAGTGCTGTTGATAATTTGTGAAAAGATTGTAGTGAGTCTCCTTTTGGCCATGTCATGTGAGCTGTTTACTACATTCTAGTAATAAGCACTCCTTGGAGGACTTGGGATGCTCAGTAGTTTTCTTCCTCTGAAGAGGTGTACTTGAACAAAGTAATATAAGTACTACATTTTGTTGCAGCCTTGTTTGCACACTGTTATTAATGATGTGGTTTCAACCCTCTGCTTTGTGCTTTACGATTCGCTAATAATTCCTCATGTTAAATTAAGCTACAAGTAAAAATTGTCTTAGAATCACAGAATGGTTTGGGTTAGAAAGGACCTTAAGGTCATCTAGTTCCAACCCCCCTGCCATGGACAGGAACACCTCCTGCTAGACCAGGTTGCTCAAGGTCCTGTCCATCCTGGCCTTGGACAATGACAGGGATGGAGCATTTACCACTTCTCTGGGCAACCCATTCCAGTGCCTCACCACCCTCACAGTAAAGAACTTCTTCCTTGTATCTAACCTGAACTTCCCCTGTTTAAGTTAGAACCCATTACCCCTTGTGCTATTGCTACAGTCCCTGATGCAGAGTCCCTCTCCAGCATCCTTGTAGGCCCCCTTCAGATTCTGGTGAGGGTGCTTCAATTCCAGTGTTCATGTTGCCAATGAAGATGTTGAACAGGATCGGTCCCAACACTGACCTCTGAGGGACACCACTCATTACAGGTTTCCAACTGGACATTGAGCAGTTGAGCACGACTCTCTGCATGCAGCCATCCAGCCAATTCTTTATCTACTGGGTGGTCCAGCCATCAAATTGATGTCTCTCCGATTTAGAGACAAGGATGTCACATGAGACAGTGTCAAATGCTTTACACAAGCCCAGGTAGACACCATCAGTTGCTCTGCCCCTATCCATCAGTTCTGTAGACCCATCATAAAAGATCATCAAATTGGTCAGGTGTGATTTGCCCTTAGTGAAGCCATTTTGGCAGTCACCAACCATGTCATTGTTTTTCATGTGCCTTAGCATGGTTTCCAAGAGAATCTGCTCCAAGATTTTGCCAGGCACAGAGATGAGACTGACTGGTCTGTAGTTCCCTGGATCTTCTATTTTCCCCTTCTTGAAAATGGGGGTTGTATTTCCCTTTTTCCAGTCACTGGGAACTTCACCTGACTGCCATGATTTTTCAAATATGATGGACAGTGGCTTAGCAACTTTATCTGCCAGCTCCCGTGGGACCCATGGATGAATTTCATTGGGTCCCATGGATTTGTGCACATTCAGATTCTGAAGATGATCTCTAACCTGATCCTCTCCTACAGTGGACTTAAGGCCTTCGCTCTCCCAGTCTCCACATGTCTTTTGCAGCTTGAGCAGTGTGGCTTATAGCACTTGCCAAGGAAGACTGAGGTGAAGAAGTCATTGAGAACCTCAGCCTTCTCCAAATCCAGGGTAGCTATGTTTCCCATTTCCTTCCTGAGAGGGCCCACATCATCCCTGGTCTTTCTTTTGGCAACAACATACCTATAGAGGCCCTTCCTGTTATCCTTGACATCCCTGGCCAAACTTAATTCTGTCTGGACCTTAGCTTTCCTGACCTGATCCCTAGCTTCCTGGACAATATCCCTGAATTCCTCATAGGCTGCCTGCCCTTACTTCCACCTTTTGTAGGCTTCCTTTTTCCTTCTGAGTTTGCTCAGCAGCTCCTTGTCCATCCATGGAGGTCTCCTGGAATTTTTGCCCCATTTCCTTCTTGTCAGGATGTGTTGCTCCTGAGCTTGGAGTAGGTGATCCTTGAATATTAGCCAGCACTCTTAGGCCCCCCTGCCTTCCAGGCTGTATCCCACGGGACCCTACTGAGCAGGTCCCTGAGGAGGTCAGAGTCTGTTCTCTTGAACTTCAGGGCAGTGATCTTGCTGCATGCCCTTCTTGCTGCCCTGGGGATCTCGAATTCCAACATCTTGTGATCACTGTAGCCAAGGCTGCCCTGGCGCATCACATTCCCCACCAGCCCCTCCCTGTTTATGAGCACAAGGTCTAACATAGCACCTCTCCTTGTTGGCTCCTCTATTGCTTGCATGAGAAAGTTGTCATCAGCACATTCAAGGAACCTCCTGTATTGCTTGAGCCCTACTGTGCTGTCCCTCCAACAGATATCAGGGTGGTTTAAGTCCCCCATGAGGATCAGGGCCTGCAAGCATGAAGCTGCTCCCATTTGCTTATAGAGGGCATTATCTACATTGTCCTCCTGATTGTGTGGCCTGTTGCCAGTATGCAGTGTAGCACTACTTTCTGCAATAACTGAAGCATGAGCCCGAAGAAGCTGTAGACCTAAGTCCCCAGTTTCATTCCCAGCTGTAGTCAACCCAGCTGTGACACTGCTGAGCTCTTCTGAAATCAAGACAGCAGGATAGGATAATAGTCACGCTAATCCCACTGAAGCAATGAGTTTCTTACTTAGCTGCTCCTGTGTACTAAGGCTGGGCTTATGCTTCTAACCACATCTACAGTAAGATGGTATAGAGCAAACCATAAATTATTGTCCTACTTGAGTGGTGCCTAAAGCTTGAAAAAAGTCTTCATTTGTATGTAATCACCAGTTCTCAACCATCTGTATTTGCTGTTCATGAGCATTGAATTTTCTTAGTAGCAGCAGTTGGCCTGTTTGGAGGAATGGCCTGCTCCATAATGAATTTTGCAGGACACTAGAA